GGGGGGGAAGACAGACACAAGGTTCAAAGACTTGTGGCTAAATTTTGTTTAACAAACATCTACGGATTGATACTGCGAATTCGCTAACTTTGTGAGGATGGAACAGAACTGAACAAATTCCTAAACAAACAGCAGCGGTCGCGATTAGTAATAAAGTGGGCCGAAATCTCAAGATTGACCTATTATTGCGCGAGCTCATGAGCTCCCCAGAAGCCGTGTGACAAGAGGCATCGCTTGGCCATTCCTTAATAAGATTGGCTTCTGAAAATGTTTCGTTAGTCAGAAGCCGAATAGTTTCACTTGTCTTGCTATAAGTTGAACTTGCCACGAGCCCCAACTTACCATTTACCATTATCTTCGTATCCTGCAAATTATGAATAAACTAGTAATTATTGGACGGTAAATAGAATTTTTTTTAAAAAAAAAGCAACATTACCCTGAAACTTACTAAACAAAACAATAAAAGCAAATTACATGTAAATTCAAAACTAAATGAAAGGAAGTTTACATTGCTGCTGAGCCTGGATAATAATAGCACAAAGAGTGAAATTGGCACCTGACAGAGGAAAGAGACATCTGAACATGCATCATCTGGGCAGCAGCATTGGTCCTCTTTTAGCGGTAAATTTCTCGAGGGCAGATCTGAACTCCCATCTTTTTGTAGTTTCTGGTAAGAAAGTTGATGAGCATAATCCATATATTTCTGCAAGAGCCTCAAATCAGCATCACTGATGCCACTGCACTCGTCCGTTAACTTCAGCTTGTCCATCACAGACTTCATATTCTGTAAAATTCTCTCCAGAATGGTTGTTGACTCAACTGATATCAAAAGGCTTAACAAACGATTGAGTCGTTGAACCTGAGAGGCGGTCAAAATCTGCTGAAAACCTTCTGAACCAGGCTTCTTAAGTAACCATGCTACATCTAAAATAAGTTCAGTAATTGCCGATTGTCTTAGAGAAGAAGCATCACAAGAATTTGACAGAGAAGCAATAGGAGAAACGCATGGGCCATCTTTCAAGAGAGATTCATCAAGTCTCTGTTGAATAACCTTCATTTCTGAACAAGTTTCTTTGTCCCCGATTAGAACTGGTATAAAATTTGATAACCCAGCCTCATTCTCAACCTAAAATGCAGATAATTGAAAGATAATTAATTTCCTTTTTTTATGAAAGGGAGAGCAATTAACATCGAGGGAAACTAATACATAACGACCCATTAAACACACAATCTCACGCCCAATGTCCCAACGTCCCACTCAAATTCATCAATAAAAAAGAAAAAAGACTATAGTTTAAAGTTTGCTAATAATAAATACCAAAACAAACAGTAATCTAGAAACAAAAAAGAACCGAAAGGATAATGGGTGACAAGTTAAAGCTTTTCAGTCCTGATCTCTGAGCAGCAATCTAAAAGCAAACAACAAATACAAGCCTTAATCCTAAATTAATTGGAGTCGGCTAAGCAATCTAAAAGCAAAAGAGAACCCAAATGAAAAAGAAAAATGGGTGACAAGTAAAAGCCCATTTCAGCCCGGATTTGAAATGGTGTCTAAAACGTTGCTCCTTTTTTCTAGTGAACCACTAAATTATGAACTTATCTACTACATTGTCTAAAGATATTGGAGATAATGGTGAACAGTTATTTCCTATAGACCAGTATTACTCACGAAAAGACATGAACTTAAGATAACTTAATGCTGGATACCACTCCCCAAGACCAAGACTGTCCATGACAAAGACAGCCAATAACGCATAAATTGTCAAACTGTATCGCCTTTATTATGATCTAAGACACTAAGAGGAAGTGGTTACGAATGGTTGTCACAGTTTTTTTTCTACACAATGAAGACAGACGTTTCCTTCACTACAGGTTAAAAGTTGTTCATAGAGGTAACGAACAGGTACACTTATGTCTCGATAACAGGAACTAATCATAAAAGGATGTCATCAAAAAAACTACAGGACAGAGTGGAGCAAGAGAAAAATGAACATAAGAAAAATAAAAAATTAACTGAATTGTCTACCTCAATAAATACAGGCCCAAAACAGTCGGCTTCAGTGTGAGGGACCTGTATTCTGTACAATTGATGATCCAAATTACTAGCAGTCTGAAAACGAGAAGATGCTGAACTATAATCATATGCCAGATACTTTCCGGAGAAGGATAAAAGAAACCTGCAATCACAACAATGACTAGTCATTAAAAGCAGTTCAATAATCCAGTACAACAATACTTTCAAGTTTTAATGGTTTAAGATTACCCAAATGCATCACCTCAATATTTACTGAAATTAAGACACAATAGTCACGTGTAATTGTGTGAACACTCAAAATCTGCTTTCAAAGGAAATGAAAAGTAAAATCTGATGGGAAGTCATACCGAAGTTTGGGTTGAAACAAGTTACTACCACAGGCAACAAATTCCATCGGTTTGCCTGCCTCAAAACACGTTGGATGAACATAGTGAAGCCTTGGGACCCCCACATCCACCTTTGCTTTTATTACAGAATTCCCACCTATTAGTATGAACAGAAGATGTCAAAAATTTAGGATCCATTCTTTTTATGGCGGGATGGTAGCAACATTAACATAAGAATTGCAAAATCTTATACACAAAGTTGCAGGCTTGCAGCAACATTATGCCGTTAAATCCATCATATCTTGGGGTAAAACTTTTATGCATATATCATGCGAAAATGCAAAACTTTCAACAGCAATACGGTGACTGGTGAGACAGACTTAAAAAATGCAAAAGTCCAATTATATTAACTAACAGCAACATTGAAACAAGAAATATGGTTTGACTATAGTTATGGAAAATTGATGATGATATAACCATGAAACATCAAGTTACCTTTCACAACTTGGAAAACCATGTTGTTTACATAAACAAGTATATTGCCTCTTCCGGATAGCATCCCACCTGGAGCGACAACAAAGTTGTGTATATATGATACAGGATCTTCAGATAACTGCATAATACAACAAAAATTACAGTCAATTCAGCAAATTCCCCATATGCGTGATCAATTATTAACTCATCAAGAAAGTTGAACACCCAATCATGCAATTATATTCACAATCTCCACTTTCCATTATCCAGGTTGAATTCAACAAGCAAGCACACTATAAAAACCAGCTACAATTTCATTCAAGTGGGAACAGAAAAGAGGAAAGCTACTATCAGAATCCAAAGAAATAACTAATTATGCTATTACCTTCATCCACATAAACCTTGGCATTGCAACAAACACAGTCAATATAATACATCCAGGGCGGATATAGCCCTCCAACTCAACTGGCATATTGGCCAACCATTGGAATATCTGCAAGTATCAACGGTTACATGTTACTCAGTTATTGATATTGCTTGCAGAAAAAATAAGCTATTTTCTGTATATACTAAACTGTAACAATAATCCTGTAATAGTACTTGGTGCCGAAGTCTTCTAGGGAATTCTGCTGGATTCCAATCATAGAGCTTGAATGAGATACGACCTGTTGGGCACTATAATAACACATGAAATCAATATAATATCTCTACATTAACAAATTAATAATGACAAAAGAATACAGCATCCAGATGAAATACCCACCACAGATGAGTAAGCACTCTTGTTCTCATAATATGATGGGGATAGACCACGCCTGGAATTATGTTTTCCTCCATCAACCTGGGTTTCACCCGAATTTATTAATTCAAAGCCATCACTATTTGCATCCTTGGAATCAGGAGCTGTACGGAGTGGGGAAAGTGGGGAAGCATGTCCTGCTTCAGAGTCCACCCATGTTTCTTTTTGAACCATCTGGCTGCTAAATTGTGAACAATCTGTATGATCACACACACTTTATGAGACCAGTGGACCAAATCTTTGTGGAAGTAAAACCAACAAACCAGCTACTACTTTTTCAAACGCCGAAAAAAGGCATCGCACCCAGAATCTAAAACAAGGTGGGGGCGCAAATTCAAATATTCATACCTTTCCCTCCTTCACCATCAGGTCCATCACCACTGGCATCTTCGCTTTGAGCATCCCCTTGCGATTCCTTTTCAATTGCTCCTTTAGAATCAACAGGTTTCCTTCGCCGCCTGTTGTTATGGCGCTCCAACTTTCTTCGACAACTCCGTTTACCTTCGTCAAAATCCGACGACACGTGAAACCTTCCAAAGAATTGACGTCCAAGCAGGAAACACAGGCATGAGATAAACATACATTTCAAAACAAAGCCATAATGTAGCATCACTCAACGATAATAACCAATCAACTTTGCATATCCTTCTGTGAGAACTTCATTCGACAAGAAAAGGAAAATCATACATTTCAGCAAAGGAAACACGCACATCTCCATAACAAAACCAAAATATCCCATAACATTACACCTAAAGCTGAATCTTTTTGTGTGAACTTCATCAGATAAAGAACCAACCAACCCCGCAAAAAAGTACACAGAAAAGAAAATACTCAGATTTCAAACTCTAATCCTAACTACTTGCAGGAGAGTTTTAATTTGATCAACTTGGAGTCTTGGACCACAAATTCTTCCCAGGATAATTAGAGAGAATAGTTAAAAAAAAAAAAAAAAAAAAAAAACCAAAAATCAATGATTGAAAACTCGAACGAATTAAAGCAACTATCTTTAGAAACCTATAAACCTAGAGAGAGAGAGAGCGCGAGAGAGAGAATTAGAGCTCACTTGCCACACTGCTGACAATACCGCTTGTTGACCCCCTCAATAACGACCGTCCCGGCGTTGGCGCATCGGAGGCAAACCCTGTGGCGGCGGTGATAGCCCTTGAGCTCCCTAATATCAGCTCCACAGGTCGGGACCTGGCACCGAGCTGCCCCGGGCTGAGCCCTAGCCGTCCTGGCCCTCTTCTTTCCATGTCCGGCCTCGTCCTCCTCCATCTCCATCATCTTCTCGTCCATCTCCGGGCACGCGCACGGGACCCGACCCGCGAGAAAGTTGGAACACACCATCCGCGGGTCCCGCTTCCGAATCCTCCCGGGATCCAACACCTCCCGGACCGGAGACTCCGCCGGGACCTCCATCGGCGGAGGCGGCTCGGCCGGGCCGGAGTCCCAATTGATGGACAAATCCGCGTCGACGGCGAAGTCGAGGAGATCGCCCCAGTCCCAAACGTTGGGCGGCGCGTCGTCGTGAACCGATGGCGCGTGGTGGCCGACCTCCATCTCGGAATCTCTGGCGTGGTCCGAAGAAGGAGACGATGCTCCTTCCATGGATTCTGGACCTCCGATTTTGTTGGAAATGGCGGATTGGAACGGATGACCTAACTACACCTAACGACGAAGCTCGCTTTCAAAGCAAGTCTATATTTTTTCTTCTTCTTCTCTGTCTGTCTATGGCGTACGCTATAATTGACTATTCCTATTTTCTCTTTTTTTTAAATTTAATTAATTGAATTTATTTTTGTGTCCTTTTATTTCCTAATTTTTATTTATATTTTGGGGAGGGGGGGAGATCTCTATTTGCTTATATGGTAAAAGAGATTACACGATTGCTTTGATGTTTGATAAGAAGATTTATATTATTATTTATAATTTATTATAATATTTTTTTATAAAAAATACATATAAATTAAAAATAATTTTAATTTATAAATTAAACGTCTTTTTAGTTATTGACAATCATGAAGACAGGGACAGCGACACAATCACCCACTCCTTTTATATTTATTTTTATTTATTATTATTTAGTTAATTAGTTTTTCATATATAAAAGCATTTTACACGTGTCAGACAAAAGTTGCCTGGATAAGAAAAAATTGACTGTTCTTTTTCTTTTCTTTTTTTCATTGTAGGACGATGACATAGATGTGTTGTGTTCTCCACGCTCTAGCAGTATTTGTTCAGCCATTCTCGGCAATAAAAACTGATGGCGTGTTTACTTATTTGTAATCTGAGTGAATATGAATTAGAGTAGATAGAAATTATAATTAAGAATTAGAGTTAAAATAGATTATTTATTTATAATTTGTTTAATTTATTAATTTGAGTTGAGATGTGACTTTATATGAGAGTTTTTTATTATAGTAAAAAAATTAAATGTGACTGTTTCTGAGAGTTTTTTACTATAGCAAAATTCAAATTCTAAACTCGAATCAGTAAAATGAACGGGGCCAGGTTTTAGGGATCAAAATCAAAATCAATTTCAATATCATTCATGTGTTTACTTACACATAATCAAAATACAGTTTATTTCACCGATTCGAGTTTAGAATTCGAATTTTGCTACAGTAAAAAGCTCTCAGAAACAGTCACATCTAACTTTTTTACTACAGTAAAAAGCTCTTACATAAAATCACATCTCAACTCAAATTAAAAACTCGAATCAGCGAACTAAACGGACCATAAATTGTTATAAATTTACTTACTTATTCTTTTAGTAGATTTTTATGTGTTAAACTTTAAAAAAAAAATTTATATATTATGTTAACTATCTTAATATTAGGATAACTAATTAATAATTAAAAAATTTTAATTACACCTAATTAATCATCTAAATTATTTTTTCTCAATAAATTTTGAAATAATTTAAAGAAAACAATATAATGGTGAAATAAAATAAGAACACTTTAAACCCCGCGACTAAGAATTTTAAGCATGTATCCCTTCTTGAGTTGATCCGAAATGTTGTAGAATACATGTAACAAATGATACTTCGTTGCCAAAATATTAGTGGCATCATATACTTGATCATCATCTAAGCTATCAATTTTCATCATTTCTTGATACAAGTTGGCTTGTAATCCAGCTAGATCCTTGTCAGCTGTGGAAAGCACATTAATAAAACCATCTAATTTGTTAGTAGAATTAAAGGTAAAATCGTAATTCACATTTACTATTAGGATTAAAAGTGTCAATCCGGTGGGGGTTGGGAGGAGTGTCAATCTCATTCTTCAACCTCAAATTGATGTGAGACCCACACATTCTCACTCTCATTTTAAAATAAAAATAGGTAAGTAAACACGATGTTGATTCCGATTCTCAATTCTCATTCCCCACTCCTGGTAAGTAAACATGCCATTAGTATGAGTTTTGGGTTAAAGACTCATTTTTTAGCACTCGAAATATTCAGAATGAATTGTCTAATTTGTTTACTAATTGTGTAAATGAAATGACTAATTGGGACAATTTTATAGATCAAAAACTCTCATTATATAAAATTAAAAAATAAGGACCATTTATTTTCATTTTTAACAGGGTGGTTCATTTACACTCATTTTTTTACTCTTTACACCCATTTCTAACTACACCCCTTTAATTTTTAAGGTTTCTTTCGCTTCGGGATTCAAGTTTTCAATTTGAGTTGAGATATGATATTTTCTAAAAACTTTTAACTGTAGCAAAAAATGTTATATATGATATTTTTTGAGAACTTTTTAACTATAGAAACATATAAGTGAAATCTCAAATCCGTGAAATGAACAATACCTAAATGATTAGATTTACTTTTACGCACCCCTATTATTCCCAAATTACCCCTAACTAATTTCATACTATTATTATTTATTGATCGTTTTATTTTTTATTTGAATATTATCGTTTATCTCTCTGTTTTTTTTATTTTTTTATTTTGGACATGAAGCTTTTTTTTTTTTCAAGTTCAATAAGGAATTGATTGCAGCTCTATCTATTAGAATCATGAATCAATTCAAATTAGAAGAGGCTGCACTCAGACACTTCCTGCAACCAAATGGATCGCCTACATGATTGAACCCATAAGCTGCTAACGCATGAGCAATTTTATATTTATAAATTAAAAAAAAACATTAATCTGATAGTTAAAAAAAAAAAGAAAAAGAGTGAAATGATTTGTCTTAAAAAGATTAGCAAAAAGATATAAATGCGCAATGAAAAAAAAAAGAAAAAATATCATCATACAATAAGTAACAAAAAAATTTATCATATCTCAATCTAATTTTTTAGAATAATCATTGAAATGTGGAAAATAGAACTTTATTATAAATATCAATATAGCAATAGTTTATAATTTGGGGATAATGCAGGAAGAATAAAAAAATTCTCTATCATTAGTTTTTTTAACAAAAAATTTTATCATATCTCAATCTAATTTTTTAAAATAATCATTGAAATGTGAAAATTAGAATTTTATTATAAATATCAATATAGCAATAGTTTATAATTTGGGGATAATTTGGGGATAATGTGGGAAGAATAAAAAAATTCTCTATCATTAGTTTTTTTTCCAATAAAATTTAATTACATGTCATTTATATTGTCTTTTTTTTATCATTTTATGTAAAAGTCTTTTATAATAAGAAATTTTAATTTAAAGTGAGTGTAGAGAATAAAAGAATGTGTGTGAATAGAACTGTCATTTTGAATATCATAACCGTTTAAAAAAATAATGATTAAAATGGAATTTGTCCTACAATTTGAAGATTGAAAATGATTTTAACGTGTTTGTTTTAATAATTCAGAAAATTAAATTGAATGAATCTTTCGTAACTCATTATACATGAAACAAATTAGTGTAATATCATATTTGGTATAACAGTAAATTTACATCTATATTTTTAATAATGACGTGTAACATTTGAATTTTCGATGCAACTATATAAATTATAAATATGCGTGTGAGTGGATGATACAAGTCTTTACACACATGATAGTGGCAGCCAGGTTATCGACGATTCTACAATAGGCGGCCGCTGGAAAACCCAACTTAGCGAATCACTTCCAGGCGGAAATCTATCTCGTGCCAGTGGCTCTTGTGTGCCTCATTTATGCTGGTGGCATACCGTACCGTATTGTGCTGAACACTCACAAAAGCCGTGGCCTTCCGCTATGTTAGACCCTCCCCTATAAGTACAATGGTTGGTCCCTCCGGAACTGGTAATCTCTGTTTGACTTGAAAGGAGCCTTGTTCAGCAGGTGCGCAGCAAGTATTCTTTCACAAGTTTGACGCAAGTCGTACCTCCTAACCCCCTTAGCTACTTGTACTAAAAAACTAGGGCGCTATACGAAAGTTCGTGCCTGCTTATCCCGGCTAACTATCGAACAGCGATCCATCATGGTGCTCGTATATCCGGTATGTACTTTACCCTATTAGAGAAGGGCGGGGTTTGGAACCCTCAAGCAAGACATGATCTACATAATAAGACATCAAGGTTATGGACGTAGTGAAGGGTGGTAGTAGATCACCAGTCTAAGACTTTAAGCATTAGTGCCTTTATCCAGGTATCCCTACTTTTTTTTAGGGTAAGAGCATAGTTTACTTTTCGAAAGGCTTCCAGGAGCGATACCGCAATACAATACCGAGGTTCACACTTTTTTTTAGAGAGGGTCTATATTAGAACTCCAGCTGGACTAGAAGGAAAGGGCGGACTACCTGAAGCTCTCCCGACAGGGAGAGGGGAGGAGAGGTGAAACCTCCAGGCCAAGGAGCTGAAGCCCGCAAGTCCGAGAGAAGGAAATGTAAATCCATTATCTTCCTTGACTTCGTCTGGTAGCTTTTCATCACGTCGCCTTATCATTAAATAGTCCGAACGTCAAACTACTGGGAATAGCTCGAGAAGAGAGACATGGGCATCCACTTTGTTACCTCTGAATAGACGAGAAGCTAAAAATATATGTTTTAATCTCTTTTGAGGGGAAACCATGTAGGGTAGTAATTAAAGGGCATCTATATAATACCTTCATCCTTTAATGCTATATTCTATATAACAACGGATTCCTTCTTATTTCCATCTTAAGGTAAATTGGTATTCTAAAAATCAATCAAAACAGCTTTGACACCAAGAACAAAGCCATTCCATGCCCTCAGGAGAAACTAGTGATGATTGCCATGAATGCTGCCTTCGAGGGTCACAGGTGAGGGTTGTGGGTAAGGGAGGCTGACAACTATGGATGGCTAGCTCGGGATAGCCGCCGTCGAGAATGTTGCATGTGGGGCCTTACCAATGAATGGTGTTGAAACCTAGTCTAGCCCTATATAGTGTAGGAGTGTTGGACCTACAGGCTCTAGTTACGTAAGGGCAAGCATATCTTTGTGTCTGTCCAAGCAAGCATATTTGTGTGCATTGATTGATGGAAGCGGCGAATGTGCGATAGACGAGGGGGATGAGGTCGCAAAGAGGGAAGTAGGGCTCCTATTGACTAAAGGTTGGTTCTTCGGTTTCCTTTAGAATGAAAGTAGCTATGAAGCCCCTACTGTCACGCCCCCCAAGCGGGGTGGGTGACGTGGAGCTCGATTAGGGATTAATAAAGCAGATTCCCAACCAGGCCCCACACTTGACTGCATTAAAATATAATTATATTACTACAGAATCCTGGAGCCTCTGACACACAAGGCTCCACCCCACAGGACATACAGTATCGTACATACATGCTCATGTAAATAATCATTACAA